GGCTGGGCCTCTCCGGGCAAAGCCACTGGCATGGCCAGCCTGCTCGGGCAGCGGGCAGCAGAGCAGCGCGGGCATCCCCACCGGAGCAACTCAAGCAACCCCACCGGAGAAGCTCAAGCATCCCCACCAGAGCAGCTCCGACATCTCCACCGGAGCAGCTCGAGCATCCCTGGCCAGCGAGCGCTGCCCACAGGGGAGGAAAGTGGGGCAAGGCAGGGGCAGGGGCTGCGGCCTCGGGGGTGCTGTGAGGGGTCAGCCGGACCCCCAAGCAGCGCTCCGGCACGCTGCCTCTCTCCCTCCAGCTCCGCACCGTCTGCCCCTTCCCCCGCAGGGGAAGGGCAAAGGGGGCTGAGCCAGACGCCCCCCTCCCCGCCCTGCCCGGTCCCCCGGCGAGGAGTTAAAAGCCGTGTCTTTCCGGGGATAACGACTCTATTATAAATAGCCCCATTAGCTACAACTAATGACAAAAATCCACCTCCTCTACTCCCCATAAGTTCTGTAAGTTATGGGCAATGCTACAGCCATTACTAAAAGCTGTTAACTTCATATCTGAATGAGGAAATATACACCACAGAACATTAAACCATTTATATTATATATATGTATATATATACTTTTTTTAAACTAATGACTTTAATGCCAAAACTTTGCTGAACCAAGAAAAATATGGGTTTAATGTTCTCTGCTCATTTTTTTTTTCTTCTTTAAAAAAAATACAACCCAAAAAAAAGAAAGGGAAACTTATTAGTATGTAATGTTTGAGTCTATCCCATTTATACACAACATTGAAAACATATATAATCTATATTACATGTGCTTCATTTCTGCCTGGGTGTGTTTTTTTCTTCTTTAAACCTTTTTTTATCACTAGAACACCACAAAAAACCAAAACAGAACCAAACCAAAAACCAAACCAAAACAAATAAAAACAAAACAAAAAAAACTGAACAAAGAACACAAGTTACAGGTTATTTAACATCTTTCTGTCGAGTGTCCCTTCCCCAGTCTCCTGGGGGCAGAGTGGTCAACAACACAGTCCAAAGGAGGGCTCACTAGCCATCCGCGATGCCAAGCCAGCTCCAGGGAACGGGTGGATGGGGAATACTGGTTTTAAAAAAGGGGGCTTCACAACAAAGGGTTTGGTTTCGCCCGCTGCAGATGCTGAAGGAGGTCTCAACACGGGGGACCTGGGAGCCAAGGCTCCCCACTGCTCCTGTATCCTCGAGTCCGTGTCTGGAGTCTCTGGTTTGGGTTCTTTTTTTACATTTTTAAAACGTCTTTTTTTTTTGTTGCTGTCGTTCTTCTCCCCCTTGGTGTGATGAGTTGAGCTGAGTAGCTGGGTCCCGCCCTCCCGCTGGGTCCTTCATAAGTAGATGCGCCGAAGGTCTCCGGGAGATGTGATGGTGTTGCATTGGGGACAGAGCTTCTTGGCACCCTGCAACCGGCAGACGAGATGAACAGTGTGAGACAGCGGAGGAGGACAACCCACACCATCCTGCCCTCGGCCTGCGATCTCGGGGGGAGCAGCACAGGAGCATGGGGAGCAAGGCCACCCCCGTTCCCCCCTCCAGGCAGGGCCATGCCCTCCCAACAGCGGGCACAAGCTGTGAGAACGGGGAGCCCCAGCGCCGTTCCTGCCTGCCCTGCAAGCCCCCCATCCCACTCCAGTCCCTGGCACGAGGCAGCTGGGCGGGCAGAAGCTCTGCAGGACGCTGACACCCAGAGCCAAGGTGCGTCACCAAACTCCGCAGCTCCGAGCCACCCCATCCCGCTGGGTGCCAGGCGGATCTGCTCCCTCTGCCCACCCGCAGCCCCCCACGAGCCAGTTCAGGTCACCGTGCGGGCAGAACACCAACCCCGCTGGAAGAAGCGCCCTTTCCAGCTGGGATGACTGAACTGGTTCATGGCGAGGTTGGCCCATCCCTTCTCGGGGCAGCACAGCAGGGCGCTGCCTCGGCCATCCTGCAAAAGCCCCAGAGCTGCTGGCACGGAGGGAACCCCCGTCCCCAGGGACGCTGCGGAGACGAGTCTGTTCTCCCAAGGTGAGCTGAAACCAGCAAACTGCGACGTGAGCTGGGGTGAGGTAATGGGCGGCCAACGTGAACGCTACATGAAATAAAACAAGGGCTGATGTGCCATCTGTCACCGAGCCTGACAGCAAGAGGGTGTTAATAAACCTCAGAATCGGGGTCAACCTAAGCCGGTCATCATGGGATTGGCAGATGTGACAGACAGCTGATGGGAAAAATGACAGAAAGATGGCTCTGCTGCGAGGCAGCCTCCCGTCTGCAGCACCAGCAGCACAAGAAACCGGGATGCCCCAGCTTTCAACACCGACCGCAGCCTCGACACGACCTCCTGCCGCACAGGACCGAGCACCAGCTCTGTCCAAGCACCCTCAGTTTTGCTCCCTGGTGTCGGACAGGCCCTTCCAGCAGCTCACGCCCGGCGTGACAAGCGAGCTGACAGGGATGCGACATGCCGTGTGAGAGCCTGCCGGCTCGCACCGGGCTTGCTGGCGGAACCGAAGCCGCTCGGTTCAGCGATGCTGCCGCTCTCCCTCAGCGAGGCCGGCTCCAGTTCCCGCAGCAGGGAGCGCGGCAGCCTGCAGGACGCGGGCTGAGCCGCAAGGTAGGACGGTGACCTGCCACGCTGCTTTGGCACTGCTACCTGCATCTGGGGACATCCCTAGCAGAGGAGCTGTCACTGCTGCTTGCAAAAGGCAAGCGTCCTTAGAAAAGGTCCTTTCTGCTCCGTGACAACATCTGCAGAGAGAGGACAGGGGCCTTCTCCCCTGGAAACTCCCCGGACTAAGAAGAATCTGGAAGAGAGAGTCCCAGGTACGGAAAATTTACACAGACGCAAATACCTCACAGGGATGCTGCTCTGAAGAGGTGCAAGTCCTGCTTGCTCTGCAGTCTCGACTGAAAAGCCCCCACAGAGCAGCCTCGAACCAGCCCGCTCCCTGCTCCCAGCGCACATTATTCCCGGCAGACACAGACTTTGCACCTTCACAGTTCCCTGAGCTTTGGAATCGTGAGCCATTGGGCTCCCGTTTGAGACCCCTTGCTGCCAGCAGCGGAGCCGCTGCCCCGACGCTGGGAGCAAGCAGGGGCACCTGCACCTGGGATCTAAAACAGCCACACACAAAGTCCTTTTGAATTGGAGTTGAACGAAACCCGTAACGGACACCCAAGACACCCCAGGCACCACTCTTGGGGCGAGTGACAGACTGGCCATGGGACAGACCACCAGTGGTCTGCATGGTGCATCTAGATCTGGTGCTGATGCCTGCGGGCAGGTCCTTCTAGCTGCCCAGGACCGATCTTTTCCCCGCTGTAACTGCTGTGCCTGTTTAGATTTTCAGCTTTTTGGGGCAGGGACCATCTCGCTGTGCCTGCGCAACGCATCCAGCACCCCCACACACTGGTCTTCACGGAGCGGACTTGGCACGCTGGATTCTGGGAAGCACAAGCACAAACCCCAGCTGGAAGGAAAGGCTCAAACTCTGATGCAATCGAAGACCGACCACACCGGACTGTAACAGAGCCTGTCTATGTGCCATGCCTCCTCGCTCGTGCTCAGGACCAGACCTTTGGATCTCCAGCATTAGAGGACAAGCTCTAACCCTGCACATCCCAGCAAAAACTTCAAGCAGCAGCTACAACAGGTAGGAAAAAGGTGGCTCCTTCTGCCACCTTTAAAGCCACAGTGGGCCAGGGTACACAGCAGCACTGCCAAGGAGGGGCTCACAAAGCTGGATGCAAATGTCACAAAACAGCCTGCTTCAGCTGAGTCCCTGCTCAGGCCTGCGTGGCCATGCAGCTCCGCGGTCCTCAGAGGCTCCTGTTGCATCTGGTCGGCCTCTTGGCATCGTCTCTGTAGCTGGAGGGTCCCGGGGGAAGTGGCACGGAGGTGCTGAGGAATTAATTCACAGCATGTTGTCAAAGGGGCAGCAGTTGGCAGCTGCCCGTTCAAGGTTCCCTGTGTGCCCTGACAAGCAGAATTAAGCGTGCACGGGGACTTTAAAGCATTCCAGATGTGACTACTGCACACATCTGTGCCCATGCTCTCCTCCTCAAGACAGGCACAGCTTATTGGCAAGAGGCAGCAAAGCATCCAACCAAGCAGCTGGAGCTTCTGCCTGGCTGGATAACGCACCATGGGCAGGACCAGTTTCCTGACCTGTCGAACGCCTCAGCCTGCCTTCAGTCTGGGGCGATGGATGATGGAAAGAGCTCGCTGCCACCTAAAACCATGCCCTCCCCCCCGTTCCTCAGCACTCCCATGCGAAGCGCTTCAGCAGTTATCCCGCTGACGTTGGAGACGTTTGGCTGCAGGTGGGTGCGGAGGAGCACTGAACCCCCTTGAGTTCATTTTTGCTGAAGGCAGATCTCGCTGTCTTGCACCTCGTGCTCCATTCTGGGATCTGGAGGTGGACTGAGACAGCTGCAGGCAGATGTCTGCAACCCTTGCTGAGGGCGACCTCGCTAACACAGACCAGACAGCTCACGGCGGGCAATTTCTAAGGACAGGTTCCTGCAAAGCCACGCTGCACAGGTCGCTCCAAAGGCTGCGCAGATGCTCGCTGTAAGCACAAGTCCTCTGCCCTCAGCCCACGGGACGGCAGAACAAGCCTGATTAAACCGACTGCGGCTCTGCTCCACTCTTCCGTGCCAAAGCAGGGTCAGGTATGTGATTACCTCACACCAACAGGGAAAGGGAAGACGGGTGGATTTATCCTGCCAGTCCCTGGGATCTCTCCTGGAGATCTGCTTTCGGCACCATACGCTGATAGCTTTTGAGGGCTCCACTCTCCCCACTGAAGGCTGAGAGCTGCAGATGGGCAGCCAGGGACAAGTTTTCCACCACGTCAGAAGGCAGAACCCAACCACACGTAGCTTGACCCATTTTCTGCAGAAGCTACGTGATCACAGATTGATCTGGGGCAGTGGCAGAGGTTGCTTCACCTACGCTTGGGAAGGGCAGCTCACCGTGAGCTCCGAAGCCTGGGTACGTTGGAGGGAAACCACGGCATCCCAGAGACCCTCAGCAGCCTGGCCTGAACGCCGCGCAGGCTGACTGCACGCCGCACACCGGGCCCAGGTCTCTGGGCTCCCTAGTACTTACGCTTGGTATTCAACAGTTCAAGCAGAAATAATGACTTTGGACCCTTGTGGAAGCCTTGTTCTTTTTTCTTTTTTTTTAATCAAATAAAACTGTCATCTTCTGCACACATAAGCATGTGCGTTAAATTCAGAACTACGTCCTGATTTTTTTCTTTTCGGATTGAAACTGCTTAGAACCTTGTTCCTTACATCTGACTTCTCAGTGTAGGTGTACAACATTTATTGGCACTAGCATTTAAGCTCTCCTCTCTTGTAGCGAGGCACATAAGCTTGTACACACACACACGCTGGCACAGGCACAACGAAAAAGCATTTGCTCCCCCACTGCTCACCTGCCAGCTGGGGTTACTAAACTTTTCCCTTGAAATATAAATGCTGTGGAATAATAAGTCCCACCTGTCGGCCATTTCTTTCTTTCCTTTTTTCCAGGTCCTTCTGCTCCTTTCATCATAGCTTCATGGAAAAGCCTTGATGTGTTATAGCTGCGTGTGCTAGAGTAAAGGCCACCTCAGCTTTTCCATTATAAACCCCAGTTTTGAGGGGTTTATAAAACTCTGCTGCAAGAAGTTTGCTCCAGGGCTGTTACAAAGCAAAGAAAAGGGGCTGGAACCAGGACGGAGTTTATTTTTTCTCCCCCTTTCTTAATTAAAATTTGGCAAGTGATTGATCCACAATACAGGCTAATCACTTGGGGTAGTAGTTTGAAAAATACATTAGCGAGAGCCGAGATGTTGAGAAGTCATTAGGGCTCACACGGTGCCAGGAAGGATTGGAGTATTTTGTCTTAAAGTTGCCTCTTAAAAAAAAAATGGCGTGACGTCTGCTGTAAATGGGCTAAAGCAAGAAAACTCAAAAGGAAGGATTTAGGCACTTCCTGCTGTCCTGTGGGTCTAAAAATGGGCAATTTCCAAGCAGAATACACTACCAGGCACAGAGATTGGAGAGAGAGACACACACAGAGCAACTTCGCCTGCACAGTGCCACCATCAAACCCGGGCTCAAAGCTTGCTCAAATAAGCTCAAAGCTTGCCTATTTTCTAGGAAGGAAAACCAAAGCAGAGAGATGACAGGAAGGACCCAAACCAAGTGCCAGCTTTTGCCAGGAGAGAAATCGAACTCTAAGATCCAGCTCTCCACCAAGGCGACAGCCCCCTCTCCCACTCATGTCTCCACACGAAGTGGCAGCTTCTTCTCTGCAAATGCTCATTCCCAGAGAAGCAGCCGTTCACCACCGTCGTCGTGGGGTACCTCCAGTTGTCAGGTAATGGGGTTAAAGCGATCAGGAGAACAACCTTTTTCACGGAGCCTCCTCAAAGGGTGGAGCTCACCCCCACAGGTTGTTGGAAGCCAAAACTGAAACATGTTAATAAATAACTGGACAACCTCATGGCAGATAGGAATATCATGAAGGATCAAGCACAGCATCCTCCGTGCAGCTGCTGATTCAGGAGGTCCTTATGTTGCTGGAAGCACAAGGAATCACCCAGAAGGATTGCTCTGTATCTGCACTGTTTCTTACAAAAATACTCCAGCCCACATGGGATACATGGTATTATAGCCTAGAAAAAGCAACAAGGCTAAGAACGTAGTAGTGTAATCTACCAAAGATATAAATGTGTCAACTGCAGAACATACATATCTACCGATGGATCCCCTGGAAGCATATTCTGTGATGAAGAAGGCATTTTAGATGTGATTTTTTTCCTGCTCTTGCAGTTGTCATTTTCAAATAAGCCCAAGACAGGAAAGTACAAGCCTGGGGTCAGCAAATACACATAGGAAATGCTGGATCTGGCTGTAGAGGTGATGGAGGAAACTCAGCAAGCTGTACCTGCTCAAATGAACCTGCCCTCTTCCAGCCCCTGCACACCTGCACCCCCAAACAGCTCCATCACTGGCAAACAACAGCCTGACTTTGCTTTTAACTCTATTTACTTTGTAAGGAAGGATACCAGGGTTTGGGAGATCACAGAACCACAGCTCAGAGGGCCGTCAAGAACCCACCGACCCATTCCACCGGCAAGATCACCTTCAACCTGAATTACCACTGATGGACATGCATCAAACCTGTTCTCACAAATCTCCAAGGGTGGAGGCTCCAAACCTCCCCAGCGAAGCACTGCAGCAGATTGCCAATCTCTACTGTCAGAGCACTCTTCGCAGGAGAAGGAGAATACGAATCGCACCCACAGAAGCTGTAGGGTCCCTCTTGGTTAGCGGAGAGGGATAGAGCAGGGGCAGACGAAGCTGTTCCAGAAGGAGATTTATCCCCCGTGACCCAGTGACTCAGGGCTGCAGTCCAACGCCCGGTTGAGGACAGACACCCACCATGACGACGGTCGCTGCTCAGGGAAAAGAACCCCAGCTCCTGCAGCCCAGGCTAAGCCTCCCTCCTGCAACACCATCTCCTCTCCTGGCTTTGAAGAACCCACACATGTTTCCAGGGGTTTCCAAAAGGGTACACAGGGAAGTGACCCCAGGCTTGTGTCCCCATTTTCTGTGTAACTTGAAGTTATCAACTACCTCCCTGCACGCAGAATGGATGAATGAGAAATGTCCTTGTGTTGAGTGCCCCAGACAACCGGCAAGCACGGAGTAGCAAGCTCACCAGTGTGGTTTGACACAGCACTACAAAACCACCAGACAGACCCAGCTAACCAAACAGCTTATATGATTTTCTGGGAACCCAGGCACGATCACGCAGCATTAAGCAACATGTTCTTGTACCCCTCTCCCTGCCTCCATTCCAGCTATGCCTACAACCACAGAGCTGCGCACAGCGTATGCAGCGTACAGCATACCCATAGCCTGAGGCCTCTGGACCGCAGCCCTTGGGCAGACCAGTTCTGCTCACAGAGTAAGGGGAAGGAGAAAAAACACACTCAGCTCTTCATGTCCTGACTCTGGGTGAAGGGACGGTGCCCTTTCTCCAGGGCCACCCTGAGGAGAAACGTCTAACCAAGCAGCTTCTATTGGCACTGAAGCGCTGGCTAACTTGGCCAGCACCATGATCTCGGTTCTCTGAAGCCGTCTCCAGGGTCCCTTTCTGCAACCCCAGCCTTTCCTTCACATTAATCCAACATAGGAACAGGAGACAGAGATGGAGTCTCCTCTAGTGGATGTTTCATCCCCAGAACTTGAAGATGGTTTGATGCCCTGAGCTCTAGTGTAATGGTACCTAAGCTAGAGAGCCCAGCAGCCATTCATAGAGTCGGTAGTTAAAAATGTCTCCCCCTCTCCCTTAGCAACAGAACAGTTATAATTTGGAATTGGACATCGGGAGCCAAAAGTCCAAAAATCGTATTTTCAGAAAGCCTGAGTGCTTTAAAGATCCAATCCTCATCAGTGCCCTAGACACCACGGATGTCAGAGGTTACTAGAGATGCTCAGATCATTGTAGCATTGTATGCCAGAAAATGTTTAAACCTTAAACCTCCTAAAAACCACTTCACCTCCTCTGGTCCATAGACAGATGTGAGCATCAAATTTCACCCTGTCTGCAGTACCTTTCAGAAGTTTAGAAGTGCTCCCAGGCACTCTGAGCCTTCAGTTCCAGGGCCTTGTTCAATACATGGTCCTCCCTCTCTCTCTCTCAGACACACTCACACTCTGATTTAATACTGGATCTCGGCTGGGCGTATAAACCACAGGCGCACAGGAGAAAGGGGACTTTTCACCAGCAGGGATGGCAGATCTCCAGAATGTTCAAAAGGGGCCGGAAGCCCGACACAGCCCGCCCGCCCCAACTCCTATTAACTCCAACAAATTGTTTATTGCACAACAGAAGAAAAATGTTGCCCCTCTCCCCCAGCCAAGCGTTTTCCATGTGTGCTGCACGCGCAGGCTCCCTCCTCCTGCCCCCGCTGGGGAGCCAGCTTTATACCCAGGGAAAGGTAACAGCAGCGATTATTACGCACACTATCCCACAGCTCCTCGCTTGTTAAAAAAAACAAGAGTCTCTTTTGTGCCCGAAATAAAAGGAGATACCTTAATTAGAACAATGCAGGTTGGTGAGCATTAAACACTGAGCCCAGCTGCTGTATGCCATTAAATTCATAAAAAAGGAGGGGGGAAGGAGGGCAGTCTTAACGAGATTACACACATTGACTTTGATCAAGACACAAAAGCACCAAGGCGTTCCAGGGTTTTATTGCTGTCTTCGGGCTACATTTTAATGGTTACATTAGAAACATGCGAACACAGGCTGGGAGATTTTTTTTGAGACAGGAGAGGTAGTGCAAGCATGCCTTGTGAAAAGGCCTGGTTTAATAAATTGGGGGCTGCAGGGAGAGGCTAGGACTGGGGAACACATGAGTAGCCACTTATTAATTGCTTCCCCTATGCAAGTGCCAAGCCCTAATATGATGTCTTGCTGGACTATTCCCATCCCGCCCGCCCGGTCGGCAGAAGAGCCCTGTGCAGACAGCACACAGCCAGCTCCATCCCCATCCTCCTCACCGACGGCTGGGGGGGAGATGGCTCCCGCTCTGCAAAGGCAAACGCTAACCCCCAAGCACCCGGAGCGGGGTTTCCCCATTCTCAGGAGCAGCCGTGGCCGCTGCACATGAAACAAAGGGGCCTGACTGAAGGTGAACTAAGTTGCTGCTGAGCCTAAGAACAGCCTGAAATCGGTGCCACAGATTTAGAAGATGACTTGAGGCTGCTGGGAAGAGGAGAGGACAAAGACTTCAGAGCAAAGAAAATGAAAAAGAAATTAATGTTTTATCCTTTGCTCGTCGCACCGCTGAAGGACAAGACTACTCTTCACTTAGCAAAGGTGGCAGAGCGCACATTCATCCAAACGCCTCACAGCTACGTACCCACATATGTGTCTTTTATAACACGCTGCTAAAATGTTTACAAAAGCTTGTATAATCTAAATAGTGACGGGGTGTAGCTGAAGAGCTATAAAATGCAGCCCAAGGGATAGCCAAGTTATTGAGTTGCTATTAGTACTCAAGCCCACAGGCACTTCACCGTCCTGGTAGCTTTTCTTGGACACGACTTTTAAAAGGCAGGATTTAAAGGAGCATGATCGGCTTAATCGTAATTCCAAGCACACAACGTGTTCTATAAAGTAGATTTTGCAATGCCTTACAGGAACAGTTTTTAGGAGTGGCATTCCCTTACATTTTTTGCAACCCAACACTGTATCATCTTGCTAACGGGAGAACTAGAACGCACAACCGACTATTTTCCACTCCCCAACCTGAGCAAAACGAAAGCTTGAAAATCAGCTGCACAGGGGACATTAAAGGCCGATTATAAAGCCCACAGTTTCAAGACAGGAAAGGAAAACATTTTATTTAATAACACCTTAAATTTTAACCTGATGTCCTTTAACACATGTATAAATTATTACTGCACTGGGTCACCTATTCCATGTTCAAGGTAGTCCCCAATCTTCGAAACAGAATGGCATACGCTTGAACACTGCACAGTGCTATTTCAAATAATCTGAAAAACATAGATTCATATTCATAAAAGCTCCCTTCCGTATCATCTATCCTGAAGATGATTCCCTTTGCTTCAGGGGAATATTAGGTTTCTCAGAAGCTACCCATTCCATGAAATCTCAGTGGATTTGGCCTCCATTCTCACTGCTTTACCTCTCTGCACGGATGCCCCACAGGAAATTACTGTAAGGTAAGGCTGTCCCCGGTACAGAGCTCTCACATGAGCAATGGCTGTCCCCACAGCAGCAGAGGAGCAAGCAAGTGGCAGGGCTGCCCTATGGTCACGACGACTCAAACCAAACTCATTCAAGTCAAAGCTAGAGTGGGGTGTTAAACAGCAAGGCTTGGGAAGTCTGCATGCACAGCATTCACATTGTTTAAAATAAAGCAAAAACCACCTTTCCTGTGGTGATTTAAATCAAGTATCACGGAAGAGAGGAAAAAGTCTGTAATTCAACAAGAAAGTAGAGAAGAGCCTCACCAGAGTCCGCAGCCAGCATTCTTCACAGTGCACGTGCCAGCACTGAATGGAAGTCAGGGGCATTGTGTAGGAGTCCTGAGGAGAAGAAGCAAACAGGTTATTTCCACAGCAGGTATCTAACTGATTCTTTGCTCCCAGTCCTGTCACAGCACCTTTCTTTGTGGGTAACATCGCTTTGTATTTTCTATTAAAAAAAAAAAAAAAGAGCTTATGTAATATGTAAGTTTGTATTTTTGTAATGTTTGTGTAGTAGAGGCAGAAAGTCTCTCACAGTCGATTCTTCTGGCTTCCCAGAACTCCTGTTGGAAGCCCCATAATCCACTCAAGGGGTGACCTGGCTCAGCACAGTTATCGCAAGAGCATCTGAAGTTGCTGCGCCCCCCTGCCATTATTCCCATCAGAAAGGTCACCAGATCATACAAAAACCGGCGACAGGGTAAGATTAACCCTTATCACAACTCTTAGCTCTGCAGGAACAGCTTAACTACATCCCAAGAATGCTGCTGCTATTTCACAGACATGCCTTCTCTAGAGTGATTTCTATCACTGCCAATAAACCTCCGGAGATCAGCAGCAAGCTGTTGTCCCTCCTGCAGGATGAGACGAGGACTGCACCCCCGCACGCACAAGTCGTGAGCTGGGAGAGAGTACCGTGCATCAAGCTGAAGGTGCAGAGGGAGCCCTCCACCAAGCAGAATTTTCTGCCGCTATCATCAGAAAGTAAACTGGAGACGCAAAGCTTTGCAGGCTCAGACCACCAGAGGGAGCTGCTGCCCTTCTTTAAGAAGGCCACAGCATCCTCACAGAGCAAGCAGGACATCGACAACTTTCGAATGCTCAGGCAACATTCCTGTTCTCAAATCATGTGGTGGGTTCTCAGACCACAGATTCTGCTCTCTCCTATGCACATAAATCTGACACGCAGGAAGAGGGTGCTGGTGTCTGGGAGTTTTCTACAGACAGGCTGAAAGTCTTCCAAAGTTCGGGCTTTCTTGCCCTGATAAAGACGCACAGCTACAAATACCAGCAGAACAATGTAATACATACAGAAATATCAATTGCTAAAAAGACCCAGCACCTTCATTTGGAAGGCTAATTGGTGTATAGGGACAAAGATGAGTTCCTCCACTCCACCTGAAACAGGAGAAAAGCTTCTCCCCTCCTCGGCAAAGATACCAAGACATTTCTGATTCATTACCGCAAGTGGAGTGCTACTCACCATGCAAATGAGACATTTATAGCGGTCCCCACGGGAAAGCTGCCTTTCTAACTCACGGACACGAGCCTTTAATGCTTCAAACGTTGTCACTGCAGAGTCTTCTGTAATTCTGGAAAAGATGATGGAAAGTGAGCATCGTTGAGCACACAAGATTGTTAAGAGTTCGGGGGAAAAGGATCCCACAACAGATACAGCACAGGAAACGGCAACAGTTGTACGAATACATCCAACTCAGGGTGAAGAAGAATTCCTGAAAACTCCAGTGTGAATTCTTTGAGGTGTCCTGCTAAACACTTCCAAACACATCACGACAGAACACAACGGGGCTGGGGTTGCCAACTTCATACAGAGCAAGTTTCTGCAAGACACGGACATTTAAAGAACAGATATTTTTGTTTTGTTTTCTGTCTCTTTTCTTGTCTCCCTTAAGAGATTCCTTAAGACCAAATGCTTTGGACAAAGTTCTGTACTTTGCTCTAAATCTGGTAAGATAACTTTCTGTGGGCAATAAGCGCTGCTCTTAGCCTTAGAGAATGGAGGACTTCACTGGCCATCAACCTTGCGAAACGCAGGATCGGCTCATTACACAGGATCAACACAATGTTGGGCTCTAATACTGAAAACAAGGAGAAACCAAAAGCAACAGACACTGTGCCAACAGGGTGGCTATAAAAGCAGCTTTACAGTCCCTGCTTTCCCATTTTCTAGGGTCATCTCTGATGGGCAGCATTATCTCTTTTCTCACAGAGGTGCTGGGCTGAGGACAGGCAAGTGTGTTTTCATGGTTCTGTGACGTTGGTTAAAAGAGCAACTTGCCAACCTACGAGCAACGGCAGACAGCAACGCTTAGCAAATGAGATGCAGGGAGCATTACAGACAAGGATGTGTCACTCCAGCAAGCTGCAACATCTGATTTCCACACAGTGCAGACGTAAGGAGGGGCCCTCAAGCATTCCCCAGAAAAGTTTTAGAGTGTTGCACTGACATTAAGGCTTTCTTTCTTGCAAAAAAAATCAAAACAAACCAGCAATTTCCACGTGTATCAGTGAATTCCACATCTGTCCAGCAGCCTCCACCTCAGAAGAACCTGAAGAGTACCTTGCCACCAGAAGCTGCATCAACCACAACACAACCCACAGTGGCACCTACGTGTTCTACCTTTTTAGAGGGTGAGTCATCAACAGGTGGCTAAAACACGGGTCTAGTGGAATTACTACAGCCAATAAAGTGAGCTGCAATCTCAGCACTCCCGCTGTACACATGCACTCACTCCTTTGTTCATTAGTCACTTGTCACTGGCACGCGGGGAGGGACCTGAGGTGATCTCCCACAAGGTGATTTTGCTGGCTTTTCCAAAGCCTCTGGAAAGAGAGCTAGTCGAAAAGATCTTGAGTGATTTTTCTAATTACGACACTTCAGAAGAAACTGGAGCTGCAGGAGTGCACATGGATAAGTACCAGTGTTATAAAGCTCCTCCAACTTCACTCCTACCTTTGTACAGATCAAATACTCTCTGCACGGGCTAACTGAGGACAGACCTTCATCAGAAGGAGATCCATTGCAAATGACAGTTACTAGCAAATGGTAACAACTTCAAAACTGCAAAAAAGGCAAAGAAATACACGTCCCGTGATAGCCTCATGGGTGAAGGCTGCCTGGGGACAGGGACACTGTGGATTCAAGACTTAGTATCAATAAACATTCTTTGGAGCAAAATGAAAGAGCTTCAGTAGCAGACAGCGTTCCCTGTTCCCCACTTGCTCCTACTCAATGGTATAAATTATTATCATATCCCAGTTTGGGTTCTCACCCTCTAGGATGAGCTGTTACTGTTTTCAAAGAAAGTCTAGCAAGGTGTTAGTTTTGTCCAAGGAAGAAACAGAATATTTACAATATTTACAGCTTGAAGATCATTGTCGGATGAGAAAATAGTTTCCCTTCCAGTCTGGCCCATCAACAACCTGATGCTGGATGAAGGTTGCAGTTGAACCTGACTTTCTGGAACCCATCTCTCCTTTCTGCACACATAAGGGCACTGGAGGTGTAAAGGCAGTGAGTGCGGCTCCTGCCCAAAGCCGGTGGCAAGCAGAACCTCAACCCTTGCTAAAAACTCCCATTACTATCTGTGGAGCTATCCGCCCTCGTCTGAAGGGCAGGCGACTCAACAAGGAAAGGGAAAAGTGGAATCCTTGAGCAGATCCAAGCAAAGGACAATTCATCCCCAGTCCCAGCCCAATAACAGTCAAAGCTTGAGAAGGAAAAATTTGCCACTGCAACAACTAAAGGAGATAGAAAATGGCTTGTTTATAGAAGTCTAAATGGCTGACCCCCATCGGCCAATTTCGGAAAGTCTCTGAGATAATCGCACCTGTCCAGTAATAAACGAATGAATCAGAAAAGGGGGCTGAATAGAGGTATAAGCCATAATGCTCAGAGGCTGCCTGATACAATGGCCAATCAATAGGAGGGCTGTAGATCAGGGTGCTAGTTAGCTGGAAAATTACCGCACCGCTGCGTGCGTCACGCTGTAGGGATCCTGGACAATCAATGTGGGAGGTATTGATTTAGTTATTATCACTTCATACGCTCCAGACATTGTTAAATATACATTTATTAACAAGACTGGGGTGCATTGGTAAGAGAGAGAGCTTTAGCCACTGCAATATCTCCCAGCGCTGATCAAAGCTCAGCTGCGACAGGCTTTAAATCCCCTGTTCTCCCTGCCAAGTGTGCTCTCAGGACAAATCCTAATGCACAGCGGAGTGACGAAGATGCAGCTCCTATCTCGCAAGAGAGAGATTTTGGCCACCAGTGAGTATTTTGCACTTGAGATTTAAGGAAAGCCTCCCGTAGCAGCAGCAACCAGGGACGTGGCGGCCAAGGGTCAACCCAAAGTGAGCGACAATTGCACGGTTGCTTCCGAAAAGCCAGAGGAAATGAGGTCAAGGGAAATAGGGATAACATTAGTAAATAAAGGAAACTGGAACTACCTCCAGGGATGGAATAAAGACGAGAGTGACTTCCCATGTGTCTGGCTCCCGTGGTGGCTAGCACACTTGGGACACATGCCATTCCATTTAGCAACGTTTTACCGTCAACCTGCTGCTTGTATCCTAAAGATAAGCATCGCCGAGGAGCAACTCTTCCTGCAGCAGCAATCTTGGGAACTCCCTCAGGCTTCCCTCTTGTGTGCACACCTCGTGTGCGCTTGCCCAGACACAGCTGGGAGCAGGCTGTAAGGTATTTTTACAGGGTAATGGCGGGGTGGAGCGAGGGTCAGAAAGCCAAGCTCCACAGACCGGGTAAGGCTGTGTACAAGCTACCCTGCCAAGGGAGGCAGAGGGAATTACAGAGGAAAAAGGAATTGGCTTCCACAACCCTGTTCTCCCCGCTTTGCCTTGACCTCATGCTGGATGTGGGAGGACTCTTTTAACAATTTTGCGCCTCAGCGCTCTGATTTGACGTGTTTGGATAACGTCATTTATCAGCCTCCAGAGAGATGTACTGAGCACAAGTGCTGCCGAGAGCAATGCCCTGAGCCCCAGCGCTGGGGTTTCTCCAACCACACAGGTGTGAGCCGTGCCGCCGATACCTGCGTTGTCCTCCCTGGCCGAGAACATATCAAGAGGGCACATACACGCTCTACTCACTGTGGACCTACATCACCACAAACAGGGCAGCCTGAGCAAGAACGTTTATACAAGAGCAAAAACATGAAAGGAGGGCTCCTCGCAGAGGAAGCTCGGTCCTGCACTTCTCTCTGGGCTTTATGGATAACTCTTCCACAACTTGGCAGTCACAGCTGAGGATGCCGGGTACCAGGGAGCAAGTCTATGAGACCTGGCCGACAGCACGTGATAGTTTTCAAGTCTTTGTGCCCAACACATGTTTTTCTACTGTTCGTAGCATCTTCCCCTCAGCACTAAAAATAAGAACAAACTTTCTTCCTTTGAGCAATTCCTTGCTTTGTTCAGGTAAAAGGCCAGCAGATGGACATAAAAATATGATGTAAAAAGAAAAAGGACCTATCTGTAGCTCTAAGCTGTTACTCAGCAATCACCTCCTGGGAAATCCCCCCTGGGAACTGACTGCCCCCCTCCTTTGCAAAAAAACTTTAAGCTAAATGCTGGTTATTTGTCAAACATTAGCATGCATGTGATCTTTGTTTCTCCAAATTAAATCGAGCAATTCCTACCCGCTGTCCCAGTGGGCAATCACAAGCAATTCCGTTAATTAAATTATCTCTGATTCTGCAGCTCTGGAATCTCTCAATTGACTAAGTCTGTGCTTTATCATCAACAAAATACTGGACCAGAAAGGAAACAAAAAAATGCTGATGTCAAAGTGATTGGCTTCAGTTAACCCTTCCCAGCTGGATATTAAGGGCTGCTCAAGAAACTGTTAGACTGGAACGGGCCCAAGAGCAAGAGCCTTGTACCAGAGATACCGGCAGCAGCTGTTCGCTTGTGTTTCCTTTCCATTGTACAGAAAAAACCAAAACACCATACCACCACTGCAGCCAGCATCCTGCCTGTCTGAGAGCCACAGAAAGATGCAAACTGCTAGCTAGTGAAGAAGCAGAAAAACACCTCAAAGATCAGTAAGCCCTTGCAAATACCCCATCCTCCCCTTACCCAGATCTCATTTGACGTACCCTGCTGTTGAGGAGTCTCCATAAAACATTCCCCTTTGGTTTATTTCAACTGGATATAAGTTTTCCTTTCTTCATAAACAGCCACACTGTACACATCATTCCATAAATTTTTACAATTCCACTGTTTGCATGTACCTTGTAAAAAACGCTTAGCACTGATTAAATGCACCACTAATAAAATTTCATGGGCTACTTTTGACACTCGATATTCTGACCTTCTTCTCTCTTCCTCATACATTTATTTTTGGTTTTGTATGCCTGTAAACACAGAGTGGCAGAGGGGAGAATGTACAAAACCACTGACAAACCCAAGAGTGATGTCTTTATTTTAAACAAAGGCTTTATCTTCCCTTGTCCGAGGTGGAGAACCTGATCCCAGCAGAACATACATGCCATTTCCCTGCACCAGGGGCACAGGTCAGGTCGCTAGCAGCTTACGTATCATAAATAGTAGA